AGCAGAAGAGAAGAGAAAGAACTGGAGAAAATCACAAAATATAAAGACCTGCAAATAGAACTAGAACAACTGTGGCAAAAGAAAGCAAAGATAGTACCGATAGGCGCCTTAGGTGCAATCCCAAAATATCTGGAGCACCACTTGAAGACCATCAGCATTGACTAAATCACCATCACTCAATTGCAAAAGGCAGTTTGACTTGGAACATCCTGCGACAATACCTTTAATACCATCAAACAACAACTTCTGCCTATCCCAGGTTCTTGGGAAGGACTCGATAGGTGGATAAAAATGCCAAATCCAGTCTAAACATCTGGCTCACTGTGTAACCAACAATAATAACCAACTGCATGGATTTAGCTCAGCTTAATTCTGCAATCCAAACAAGGTCCACTAGGTTGAGTTACCTGTTGCTAAGATCATTCACATTGCATTTAATCAACTGAATTGCCCCTGAACTACTGAGATCTCAAATTGAACTTTTCCTCTGGCCCCACCCACTATTTTGTCTTAGCCCATCTACCTTTGGGAGCATATCTTCAGCACTTCATGTCAAGGCCCACTCAGTTCGAAAAAGGTTATGCGCCCTCAATGCATATCTTATTGTGTATGACTGCAATAAGATTCACTTACCCTCCCAATTTGCAGTCCCCTGTCCCACCTTTCCAGGCTCGGACATACTTTGGATCTGCCCACAAGGAGATGGGGTTGAAGGTCCCACTTGAGAAGTAGGGCCCCACAGGGCTCAGTATCACATAGAGAATGGCCCTTGAAGGCGTCTTGACTCCAAGAGAAGGCTACACAGAGGAACGGAAGGCAAATTCATTTCATTTATGGGTTCTTATCCAGTTAATATTCAATAAAGCTGAAATGGAATAAAATATAGAGACAAATTTCCTAACATTTCCAGTCATCAACAGAATCAATGGCTTAAGGAAGCAAAAAACATCCTTTGGTGGATGTATCAAAGCAGAGGCTGAAGACCTAAGTGTTGGGCATACTTCAGATTCCTTCAACGAAGAAGGGGTTGGATTCAGTGGCCCAAACATCTCCTTCCAACTTCATGGGTCTATAAATCTGTGATTTTGCAACCACAGGCATTGAGTTATGAGACAGATATGTCAGATACCAGTACCAGCAGATACAGGTAGTCCTTGCTTAATGACTGCCCGGTTTAGTAACTGTTCAAAGTTACAATAGCACTGAAAAAATAACTTTGACCAGTCCTCACATATTCAACCTTCACAGTGTCCCCACGGTCAGGTGAATGAGATTCGGGTGCTTCACAACCAGTGGGCATTTACAACTGTTGCAGCACCCCACAGTCATGTGATTGCCATTTGTCCACTTCACAGCCAGCTTCTGACAAACAGTGTCAATGGAGAAGCCAGCAGTGAATTTGCAAGTCATGGTCACGTGATGTCTCACTTAACAGCTGGGTGATTTGCTTAATGACTGCACTGGAAATGAGGTTTTAAGTCCATTGTGGTCATATGATGTCTTGCTTAACAACCGCAGGTGATTTGCTTAACAACTGAGGTGGAAGTGAGGCTGTAAGTCTGTCACAGTCACCTGATATGTCACTTAATGACCGTATTACTTAATGATGGAGTTGAGAGTCCCCATTGTGGTTGTTAAGCGAGGACTACCTGTACAACAGTTGCTTTGGTTATTCACAGAATGCTGAATAACAAATAACTCAATCCCATTTTAGCCCCTTCAAGTGCGATGTAAGAACCCAGACATAAAATGCTGGTTAGGATGGTGAGTTGCTGTGTTGTGTGTCTTAGGATGCAATGAAATAGCTGTTTCACTGGAAGGACAACTAAGTTTGGCTCACTGCCCATTTGTTCCAGTCCACTGACAAAGTGACTGCCTCATTAGGCCTAACAGTAGAGCCAGCCTGTATGTTTAAGGGAAAAAGAGGGCTAAAATTTCAATTTGTGTAATGAACTGGCAAACGACTGCCACTAGGTGGAACTATTGTCAACCATAACAGGAGCAGATCCTTGGTTTCTTCACTCTTGAAAACTTTGCCCTACGGATCTACAAACAGGAAAAGCAAGGCAACCAGCATTTCTTTATATTTTCCTCTCCTGTCCCTTAGGAAACCACAGAGAGATTCTCATGGAACAGGATCTCCTAAACCCAAAGAAGGTGTCATTGCCCCAAGGATCTCCAAGTGCTACCCCCAGTCAAAGAGAAAAATGCTAATTCTGCTTAAAATATTTTGTATTCAATAGCTCAGTGTTTCTCAACCTTGGCAACTTGAAGATGTGTGGACTTCTGGCTGGGGAATTTTGGGAGTTGAAGTCCACACATCTTCAAGTTGCCAAGGTTGAAAAACATTGCAATAGCTCCAAGAAAGCAATGACACAATGCCAAAGTTCACAGAAGACTCCAGGTAAGACTAAAATGGGATTTGATAAGGGACAAAACGTGCATAATACTGAAACTTACATACTTGCGTCAGATATTGGGACATGAGTTCATAAAAATGGGATGTCATAACATCCCTATATGTCATTATTTTTGTGTTGTTGTGGCTTGCCATTGATGTTGCTGGGAAGGAATGAAGAAAAGAAGGAAAAAAAAACTATTTTCTCCCCACCTCTGTCCCAATTAAAGTAGGGCGGATATACAAGCTAGCAGAGGTCGAATATGGTACCCACTCCTTTTCAACTTCCACCAGTTTCTGGATGCACCGCAGAAGTTCTTCTTTATCAAATCCCTGGAAATGGAAAGAATCATAGAATCACAGGGTTGGAAGGGATCTTGGTGGTCTTCTAGTCCAAGAAGGCAATACTTAGAAATAGTCTTTAGGTGGACACACCCCAGTGAGAACATTGAATTAGGTTGTTCATTCAAACACAGAGATGGTCCAGAGTGTCTAGCATACTACTATTAGTGTGTGACAAGCTACAATGCCAAAGGGCCTTATGTCTGTAACCACCCAAGAAATGAGTTGGTTTAACTGATTTTATCACAGCTGTGAAACAGGTTTCAAAATGATTAGCATGGGGGATGTGTTGGGGAACATTTTTCATTTTGCCAGTGGAGGGAAACCAGGGATAGAAACAGGCACTAACTGAAGCTCTTTGCAGATGTTCTAAATATTCTTAGCCCAATACAACACAATGTACAAAAAGAAAGATAATAAATTATCTCCATTTCCCATCTTGTATGTGGTCAAATTCCAAAAGGAATCTATGCTACCCAGGAAGGTTCTCCACACAATGGGGAACTCAGATGTTTCAGGGTTCTGTATTTTACATGAAATTCCTTGGATACAAGATCTCTCACTTCATGCCTGGACATGGGTTCTCTTCCTTCCAAATACCCTTCCATACATTAATATGAGACTGGTATCATTCCACCCTGGATGATCCAGGTCTTATGACTCTATTAAATATATTCAAAAGAGAATTCCTGAAAAATTATCTTAAATGGAGGATGGTATTCTTGATGCTGCTTAGCTACAAGATGGCCAAAGGCTGTGTGTGAAAATCCTTTGGTTATGCAATCCTCTCTCCAGCTTTCTGCAGCCTCCAAGAGAAGACATGAGAAGGGAGTTTGTTATCCTGGAAAAATTTGGAGAAATTGTCCATCTGATTTCTCCACCCACAAATTGCCATAGAAAATTTCCAAAAGGTCTTTGTGACCAACCTGAGAAAAAAGTATTGCTTTCTGCACATGGTAATCTCGATCTGGAATTGTATTCTCCAAAAGTCCTTGAGAAAGCAGTGCAGAGGGATTATATGAAAAGGTGAATATTTATTTCTGCTTTAGATCCACCCCGTTCTTGGCCATCTTTTATCTAACTAGTGTTGACAGTCAACTCAGATGTATGGAGAGTGTGCCAGAAATATAATATTGTATATATCCTATAAAGGCCACATCAATAGTGTATTGTAACTTTTTGTGTTCTGAATACACTTTGCATGCTAAAGAGCCCCTTGTAATACAAGATTTTGCACTGTATTTAAACTGCAGGGTGTTTTGATACTGTACAATCAAACAGATTCAATCTTCTTGGGATCTCTTCAGCAAGAATGCTTTAGACATGGAACCAAGGTGTTCTAAGCTCTGGTTACAATCTAAGAATCAATCTCTGAAGGGTTTTCAATTTTTTTTTCCCTCCATCCAGTTCTCATTCAATTGGATGAAAGAGAAGTGACTTTTGACCAACCTTTACAAAAGCAAACGGAGACAACTTCAATGACATTTTCATGGATGAAGCATGGACTTAAGAATGAAGTGGCTGAAGAGTATGTGTACATCCTCTCTTTTCTTGCACAATCATCTTTCCAGCAATCTGTTGTCTTCATAGCTTCCTGCGCTTCAGGTTAATTGCTAACGGCAGACGCCACTAAAGACTTCCTCCAACAGTGCTCCTTTCTTTCTTTCTTTCTTTCTTTCTTTCTTTCTTTCTTTCTTTCTTTCTTTCTTTCTTTCTTT